CCCCCCGTCGCCAAAAAATTTTTGGTCATTGTACCATTTTAGTGGTAAAAAATTTTTTCCGGAGTAAAAATTTTTTCCGGACGAGTACGTTGCAATTGCTTTCGAGGGACTTTATCTCATTTTTTTTTATGCCAAAATTCGGTACTTAGCCCCTTGAAAACAGACATCTTTTCCTGCGTTAGCCACAAACCGTCCGACTCTTCAATTGTTAATAATAGATGACAATGTAGTTGAAATGATCACTATAACTAGAGAAAATCCTTTTAATCAATTACTCAACACACCAATCAAACTCATATTTCTTTATTTTCATTATCACTTCATACACGTTTTAATTTTATGCAGCTTGCACCCCTGTCCCAATGGCCTCGTTTTCATGTGGTTAAATTTCTCATGTTTCTGCATAATAGGGATAAGGATAGACGGGTGATGAAGCTCAAGATCAATGAACAACATATTTGTGCACGAAACATGGGGATATTACATTCGTGTGCGCCTGCATGCTAAAACAGGAAAACATGGAAACGAGCCAAATGGGGCAAAATTGCAATAAACAGGATTGGATTATTTTATAACAGTTTCTCTACAAAAGAATCTAGTTAACTTCGCCTATATCTTATGCATCCAAAACCTCCGTCACTGTTAATTGGCACAAAAACTTTGAATCACTTTTCGCTGAAATACAGATGGACTTCTGGATTCTGACGATGGCTTCAAACGTAAAAGAACTCATCTTGTTGTAAAACTTGACGTCCCCAGCGCTCCTCCTGAAAATCACCCCTGTATAACGCATAAGCGAAGCCATCGTCATTGCTGCTGTTTTTGGTTCAAGTACACCAAGGCAGGCAGGCCGTCAGTTGGAAAGCCATTTTTCATGAACGCCACTCTGTCTTTTCCAGTCTGGTGTAGTAGTCGCTGCCGATTTCTTGAACCATCTCGTTCACATAAGCCTCGTCCACACGAGACTGGACGAATTCGCATGCACATGCATCTAGTCAACCGTACCATGTAAACTCGAACTAACTTGAAATCTTGCATAATACTAAGGTCACCGAAGTGTGCCACAAATGTTGACGAAAACAATAGCCAATCAAATTTTTATAGCAATTATACCAAGAACTACCCCCTGATTAGTGGTTTCCTACCTCTGCACCCATGGTAACCTATGAACTAGCCTGCGTGTCAGACTCTATGCTTGAAATAGAGCCTGCTACTGAAGTTAATAAAAAGTGGACTTATGCGTACGATTCCGTACGCAAAATTCCCCATTAGTCAGAAATAAATAGCCTTGCTTCATAAAGTAATGTCAAGTTGTTGTTTACACAACGATTATTCCATACTGGTACTTTTGGCCACATTAATTACTGCCTTTGCAGTCTGTAAACACGGTCAATAACCGTTATTATTATTAGTATGTAATTCCTGGTCGTTTAATGAAAATTGGAATATTTATTTTCGAGATATTGGCGGAAAAATTGGCCGTCATTCAGTCATATTTTAAATTAGCTTTGATAATCTAATTAACAATCGCTGTTTTGATTGGTTGTTATTTTCGTGCATCCAAATGACTGTCCACTTTTCATCGACTTCAGTAGCAGGCTCCGCTCTATTTCAAGCATAGAGTCTGACACGCAGGCTACCTATATGAGCCGGATTGACGGTTTAAAATTTGTGAACATGAAAAAACATGTAGGTGTGGTCGTCAACGTTTGTGGGCGTTAACCCGAGCAAATGTTTTATGCGTTCGCACACACACCTCGGTGACATCCGTAGCAACTGAGCAACGGTTCCGAGAATTAGCCTTTCTCGCCGCCGATTTTCCCGCCATTTTGGTGTACTGTTACAACTTTTCAAAGTCGCTTTTCACATTGTTTGAATTGTCTAGAATCTTTCAAGAGGGCAGACAGTACCCCCAAAATGGCGGATTTTGGCCTTCGTGATAAAGGCTAATAAATTGGTACCGTGTCAGCAGTTTTAAGCCGGTTTTCCACTAGGCGGAATTTTGCGCGCGGAGCGGAATTTTTCTTTGTCTTGTGATTTCTCGGGTGGAACTAATTAGAAAAGACAAAGAAAAATTCCGCCTAGTGGGTTAAAGTGCGGCGGCATCCAAGAGAACACGGCCAATTTGGCTTAGAAATAAATACGAGGCGTATTCATAAGAGTTTGCACCTCGCGATAAAAATATTAAATACGTTGGGGATTTGTATCTAATGACCACGGAATTGGTCGCGAATGGAATTTGGTTTCGCACATGTGTGTTGCGCTCGTGGTTTTAAGCTCAAATTCGACGTCTTTAAACACAGGCACACGGCACTTAAAATCTGTGCATTGTAACATATCTCAAGAATATGTATTAGAAAAATAACCTGATGCGGCTACATATTTTTACAAGTAAACTACAGAAATGTTGAAGAGAACGTGGTAGGCTAAGACAAGTAGATTACTCACTAAGGGGATTAATGTATATATTTATAAATATATATTCCAAATTATATTCCGTAACACCAGCAACGATAAACTTGGTGAAAATAACTTTCGTTATCAAACACTACAACAATAAAAATCTATATTTCCTCATTTCAAAATATTTGGCGACTGTTGTTGGTAGATTATAAACTATTATTGCTAATATCCTACGATTTTCGTCGTTTTCCATATAAATGCTACTTGTAATAATTCAGAGTAATTTTTGCATTGTCATTACATGTTCAACTTCAACCACAAAATATTTTGCTGAAGATAACAGGCTTTCTTTTTATATGCAGTTCCTTTTCAATAGCACCTAATATTTGTCGTTGTTCTTTGCTATCTTAACATCTCTTGGTCCGCGATCGTGTGTATGGCACATGGTATAAGGTAATTAAATTCCTCTTTCCCAAACCCACTAAAATTGGGTTAGCAAATATGATCAATGTATACATTCACTGTACTAGTCAAAGGTTCACGTTTGGTGAGTACCATTGGTGACCCTTACCGCATACATTGTGATCCCAATTTTTTTTCTGCTACCGGGAAAGTATATGCGTGTTCCGTATACTTACCTTTCTTCAAAATACTTACAATAACCATATTCACACACAATAAACATATTATTGTAACACCACCTAAAAAATGTGAAAGGAATAATATAACAGAGTAACTCCATAGACAGGCCAGAAAATATACTGTTATTCTGACACAAATATATCTCTAAAATGAAATGTTTAAAAACATAAAATATGTTCAAAGTGCTTCTGACTTTGCTATCCAGCGTTCACGTGTGCATGTATCTCATTACATATTCAGACCGTCCAGTCGCATGGGAACGTCATTAAAACTCATTATGTATCATATATTTACATTGAAGCCTAATCCTGGCTTATATAGCGAACTAATGGTTTGCTGCAATTTTAACGAGTGGATGAGTTATGAATATTCAAATGTACATCAGTGGTGCATATATTCAGAACATTCATAACTCATCTACTCATTCACATGCATCAGAAGGGGAAAATAGCACTAGAAACAGCAGCAAAAATTGTAAACAAACGGGCTTTGTTACAAAATCAAAATTTAGAAATTTTCTGATTTCCGACATTAATAGCAAACTGGAAGATTTCAAAAATTTAAGATTTTGTAAGACAAACCAGAAAATTACAATATATGGTAGCCAGACTTTTTAATGCGGCAACAAACGTTGGTGTAGGATTTGGATGCATTTCAATTGAAATTGTCGGTACGGAAATTGCCTACTGTGGAAGAACTCTGGGCGTGGAATTAATGTTATGCTTTAAAAAAACCCTACCTGATATGCAAGGTCTCCATATGCTCGAAAGAGGCCTTTTACCAAAAGCACAGCTACCCACGCTTCCACGAGGGTCACGGTTACTTTGGTGAGATTCTTTGGTTCAAGGTATCTACAAGAGCAAATACTAAAGAAACAGTTTTTATCTTTAAAAATAGTTATTTCGTAGGAACGGTTTCTGCAGTCGAGAAAAGGCACGAGGAGTGCTAATTGCCCATTTCATCCCATGTGATGCCAGGGGCGTAGTAATCTCTAATTGATCACTTTAACCCTAGAAAAAATTAACATACGCAGCTCTAACACATAATAACTTAATTCGCTATTTCGGAATCTATAATTTCAAATTAAATCATTTTTCATTTAAAAATAACTGGTACAACCAATAACAAATGCTACAATTTTCATGCTTATCATGCCTTGTCCTTCTTTGAGACAC